CCCCGGGATGGCATCCGTGCAGCTCGGCTCCACCCTTCCGGTGTGGGTGCCGCAGCTGGTGATGGCTCACTCTCACTCAGCCGTGGGCAGGTCAGATGCTCGCGTCCCCTCTGTTCCGTTCTTCCAGTGTTTACTCGGTAGCCAGAATGGGCCGGGACTTATTAGGGCTGCAGTTTATGAACTGGACTCCTAAAACTGGGCCAGCCTGGGTCAAAGCTCAGTAGCTCTGCTCTGACCAGCTTCAGTGACACCTCAGAGCCGTCGCCTCTGAGGATCTGAACCACATACTCCTATTAACAGCAGAAAATGACAGGAGCTCTTTGTCAGCTCTGTCACTGTGACCATGAAGCCCTTGAGAGCAGTGACATCGCTGTCACGGCTGTGTCTCGATGTCCCCCCAAAGCCTCCTGCAAAGGCGGGGTTTTCTCAGAGTGGCTGGATCTAGATCCATGGTACAATGCTAGGGTCAAGGGTGCTAGGAGTGGGTGTGAGGGCTACCTGCCATTAGGGTGGGCAGCCTGGGTAAGACACCAGGGACAGAAAGTGGCTAGACACCTGCTTTTGCTGTCTTCTGCCTGCCAGGGACTGTTTCTCCTCTGTGATGTCCCTCTGCCGTGCCACCCTGCCTTGGAGCCGGCTGATTTTGAACTGAAACCTGTACAAACTGTGAGGCGAAATAAATATTTTCTCCTTTTAACTTTGAGTGTTGGGCATTTTGTCTCAGCAGTGAGAAAAAGTGCACACAGAATTCCAGCCAAGCCAATTTCCTCACCTTGAACTTCTACAACTGTAACTGGTTCCCTGTGTCAAAATGGGTGGGTGAATGGGTAGATGGATGGATGGATGGAGGGTTGGAGGGGTGGATGGACAGATGGGCAGGTAGGAGACAGCTTTGTGCACGTGACAGTTTGCAAAACATACTTTCTATACTACTGTCCATATCAACGAGATTCAATGAGCAGTACAGAAATGGGGGCAGCTTCTGGGGGCCAAGCCAAAGGCTTTCTACAATTTTTGATCAGTTTCCTCACCAGTCTGGATATCTGACCAACTACCGGCCCGCTTCATCATTTCTCCACTTTGTCCCCAACAGTGTGAGAGCTTTTCATATGTCCTGTACGCTGGTGATAGGCTCCATGCAGTGTGGCTTTCCAGCCAGTGGAAACTCCTAAGACATTTCCCAAGTCTACCTGTCACCATGGAGACTCTGGTCCATGTCCCGCGGAGCTGTGTGGGGTGTGGGTGGGTGAATGGGTGGGGGTGCTCTGCTCTCAGAAATGCCAGGGAAGGGAAGGCCTTGTTAATTTCCGCCGACTTTTCTACTTTGCGGTGTGTCCGGAATTACCCGAGGTCTCCCTGGAAGCTAGGCGTGGTGACACTGGGTGACACCGCTGTGATGACACTGGGCTGTGCTCATGCTTGCTACTGTGCCTGAAATTTCAGGAGTCTGTCTTAAGAATCAGACTGCGTGGTGTACCTATTTTCCTCTTCCATCTTCTTCTCCGGGATGCCAGGTTAGTACTACTCCCGGGACTATTACTACTTGCTACACCTCCCTTCTTTGGTGCTTACTGTGTGCCCACACTATTTCAAGAACTTTCCAACTTTCCACACAGTGCCTCTTCTCTCCACAACTGGCCCTCGAAGTCGCCACTGTAAGTCCCACTTTCAATTCGTAGGCTTCTGATGCTACTGCTTTATGTTCATTACATTCATAAACCTGGTGTCTCCAGGTTCACAATCACCAAAGGAAAGCAACTTGAGCCCCCACCTCGAGTGACCACAGCCCCCACACCTGCCCGCGTATCTGCGGGGCCCCCACGAAAGGCCCTAGCTTGGTGGCACTGGCACATCGCTCCCTGCTCGCCCCCACCTTCTCTCCCCGCTCACGAGCTCCCTCTCCCTTCTCCACTTGCCCATGCTGACCACAGAGCTGGGGGCTTTCTACCTCATGCCTCTTATCAAAGTCAAGACCATGGGACCAATTCACAGGGAAAGAAAAAGACTTCGTTTTCAGAAGGTTGACTCTCACTTATCAAAGAAACGTAAATCAAACCAAAGTCCAGTTTTCACCTCTGGAACTGGCAAAGAGGAGAGGTATTATATGTTCAACACTGGCAGAAGAGTGGACAGGATGGGCAGTGTCACCTGCCACCAGGGAGAGGGTACGTAAATATGTGTATGTCACAGACGAAGATTATAATTTACTTGTTAACCCATAACTCAGATCCTAGAAAGGGATGTACAGTACATTTATGTTCCAAGATACACCGTCCTTGTGTTATTTTTAACATTGAAAAATGAGAAACAATCTGAAAACCAACGATTGAAGATTAGTTAAATAAATGATGGTACTGCCAAGTGAAAAACAGTTCAATGCCATGGAAACTAAGCAAGCCATATAATGGTGAGTGGAAAGGATTAATATGGTATACACTAAATTGACCATAAATACCATTTAGAATCAATATAAAATGGAGAGTCACTTTCAAATCCTTCTGGTTAAATTTGGATGGTGGGAGTCCAAATAATTTTTATTTCTCTCTTTATGATGTTTCTGTACTTCCAAATTTCTACAGATTATGGCTTTTATAAAAAGAAATATAAATGTACACTTAAATTTAATTATATACCTCTCTCTGTATTTTGATATAAGTGTATATATGCATAGGTTTAAATCCAATTCCCATATTGCTTTCTCTCCACCCTGGGATCGGAAAGTTCTATCCACACCAGCACAGCCGGTGCTGGGTAAGCCGAGGTCCCCGGATCGTCTCCATCCCTGTGGCGTCCCGACCCTCAGGCACACAGCCCGGGTTCTTCCTCCCGAGGAGGTCTGCTCCCCACTCCCCTCCCCAACCAGAGACTCAGCCATTCAGCAAGTCCTCAGCAATGGATCCACCCTGGGCTCGGGCTGACTGGGGAAGCCCCGCCCCTTCTCAGGCTAATCCTTCCAGCATCCAAGGAAGCGCACAGGACTTCAAAGTACACTGCGTGCTGGGGCAGCGAGATTCTACAGCCCATCCTCATGTTTCCTGGAAACTGGCCCGTGGTCAGCCGTCTCGGACCTGGCCTCTGTCCATCACTGCCGCGAGTCATGCAGTTCTATTTCGGCTTTCTCCTCTGCACCAACCACCCTTTCTCCCAGGCTAGAAAGGACCCTTTGAATCTCTCATCCTAGTGCAAGCTCAGCGTCATTGTCCCCACTTCCAGGCGGAGACTGGAGCCCAGAGGGATGAGCACGGGGTGGGGGGCAGGACAACAGCTCTCAAATCCAGAGGTTCACAACGGCTTGTCCACACCATCAGGGCCCAGTGGGAGAAAGGGGTGCTCATTCCTGTAGGGCTGCTAGGAAGGCCCTGTGGGGCACAGAGGCTGCCCAAGGGGAAGTGGATCTGGAGGAGCCCAGAACCTATGGGAAGGAAGAAACTGAGCATCGGGGACGATTCTGGGGGCCTTTGATCCAGCCCATCCTGCAGCAGGATCCTGACTGCCGGTTCCCTTCACCCACTCATTACTGGTCTCTTTCCCTTCTCTCTTTTTCTTTCACCATCTGCCTCCAAATGTCCACATTAAGTCAGGTACAGATTATGTCCATTTTACAGCGGCAGCAACCCAGGGGAATGAAGTGACCCCAAAGCCATGCTAGAGCCCCACTCTTCCTGACCTCAAGCTTCCTCCACAGCTACGCGCCTGTGAGCCCAGGTGAAGGAAACACACCTTCCTCAGGAGCTGACCCTTCGGCCAAGAGATCACCTCATGGCTCCCGTATTTGTCCCTCGGCGCTCACAGCAGAGCTCCAGGGGCGCTGGCCATGGGCCTGCCTGCCTCAGCCGCCCGCCTCGCCACGGTCCCTTGACAGACCCGCTTCAGGCTTCGCAAGTGAAATTCTTCCCTTCCTCTTCCCCTTTTCTCCTCTCCCCCTCCATCTTCGCTTTCTTCTTTCCTCCTCCTTCCCCTCCCCCTCTCCTTCCTCCCCTCATCTTCTTCTCCTCCACTTCCTCCTTCCCCGCTTCCCTCCTCTCCCTCTCCTCCTTTCCTCTTCCTCCCCTCCCCCTCTCCTTCCTCTTCCTCCTCCTCCCCTTCCTTCTCCCTCCTCCGTCGTTTTCTCTACGTACTTGGGATTGAACCCTGGACCTTCACACTGAGCTACACTCTCATTCCTGTCTTCGTCGTGGTCGCCCTCATCATTTATTTTGAGACAAGTTGCCCAGGCTAATCTAGCGTCTGCGGTCCTCCCGTCTCAGCCTCCCAGAGTGCTAGGGTTACAGGCGTTCTCCACCTCGCCGGACTCCTTTTCTCCTCAGACTTGTACCGGCCGTTCTTCCTACCTCCCCTCGCTTGCTCAAACGGCTCGGGTGGCCCAGGGTCTCCACCAGCGCCCTGGGAGAGGGAGGTACCCTGGGAACAGAGGAGAAAGCTCCCCTCTTCCTGTCCCCGAGCCCCGCCCCGCCCCGCTCACCTGTAAATCAGCACCTCGTCGTCCGAACAGTTGTACTGCAGCTGGTACATCTTCACCCTGGGCGCCGACTTGCTGACTGACCACTTGACCAGGGCCGAGGTGGTGGTCACGTCGGACACAAGCACCGCCCGCTCCGGGGCGCCCTTTGCGGGCTCTCCGCCCCCACTGCCTGCCCCTGCCCGGCCGGTCTTGCTGGAGCCGGTGATGTCGGAGAGGCGGGGCAGACCGGGCAAGCGGGGGGGAAGGGGCAGCTGCACGATGGACACCTCCACGGCGGCCGTGGCCTCTCCCGCCGCGTTGGCCGCGATGCAGGTGAAGGCGCCGCTGTCCTGAGACGTGGTGATGAGGATGTCCAGGGTGCCGTTGTCGTACACGGCCGTCCGTGAGGAGTTGCCCACCAGGCGGTCGTCGGGGGCCACCCAGTGGATGAGAGGGCTGGGGTCCCCGATGGCCTTGCACTTGAGCGTGGCCGCCTGGCCCTCCAGCACCAGCAGCTTGTGCGTGTGCTGGGTGATGAGCGGCGGCTCGCACACGAACTCCTCCTCGCGCACGTGCCAGAAGTAGCGGCCCTTGAGGCCCCCGGGGGACCCACAGGTCTCCAGATCGTCCTCCCTCTCCAGCCGCCGCAGCCAGAGGAGCTCGCAGTTGCAGTGCAGCGGGTTCCCCCCGAAGCTGAAGGACAAGGGCGGCGCGAAGGGCGTGGCGGTCAGGAGGGAAGCCTGGGAGCGCGCGAAGATGGGATCCGGGGGCAGCTTCTGCAGCCGGTTGGAGGTGAGGTCCAGGCGGGCCAGTTTCTGCAGGTCGGCGAAGGTGCCCTCGGCGATGTGGTCCAGCAGGTTGTGGTCCAGGCTCAGCTGGTGCAGGTTGACCATGCGCCGGACGGAGTCCCAGGGCAGGCCGTGCAGGTTGTTGTAGGAGAGGTCCAGGTCCTCCAGCGTGAGCAGGAAGTCCTCGAAGGCGGCCTCGGCGATGCCGCCCAGCTGGTTGTTGTTCACGATGAGGTGCTGCAGGTTGACCAGGCCCCGCAGGGTGTCCTCCCCGAGGCTGGGCAGCCGGTTGCTGTCCAGGTGCAGCGAGCGCAGGCTCTCGAGGTCCAGGAAGGAGAAGGGCTGGATGTGGCTGATGGTATTCCTGGACAGCGTCAGGTCCACCAGCCCCGACATGTTGGCGAAGTCCTGGCGGCCGATGTGGATGATGAAGTTGCCGCCCAGGCGCAGCTCCACGGTCCGCCGATCGATGTCAGGGGGCACGAAGAGCAGCCCCTTGGAGGGGCACAGGGTCCCCAGGGACTCAGACAGGTTCTGGCAGACACAGTACTTGGGGCAGGCATCGACCACAGCAAACGCCATGCCAAACGCCAGCAGCCCGCCAAGCAAGGTCTCCATGGTCTGTCGCGCAGGCTGTGGCGCCTGGAAGAGAGGGACACAAGGTCAGGGTCAAGAGGTGGCTTCCTCCCTCCCATGAGCCCAGCGCCTAAGGGAGGAGCAGAGGATGGCCCGACAGCTCTGGAGTCTCTGAGTACAGCCCTGTAAGACGGGTCTATTCTTATCTTCTCCTTAGTTCTTATCACCTTCTAATATAGTGCATTTAGTCATTCATTATGTTTATTGATTGTATCCCCTGCTAGAATGTCAGCTCTGTGAGGGTGGGGACTTAAACGTGTCTTATGAATTGCTGTAACTCAAGCATCTAGTGCAGTGCCTGGAACCCAGTAGGTGCTCAATAAACATTGGTCGGATGAAGGGATACACGGATGGGTGGTGGGTGGATGGGTGAATGGAAGGAGGGAGGGGTGGGTGGGTGGATAAGTGCGTGGATGCATGGATGAGATCACATGAATTATTCATCTGGTAACCACTGAGTTTGAAAAGTGTTTCATGGCTGTTTTCTGAAATACAGCGCTGCCGTCCTAGCTGGTTTGGGCTCAGCATAAGATGAAACAGAGCCAGCATTCCTTAAGAACAGGGACGTAGACAAGAAGAGAGTTGGCCAGGGGCGGCAGGGGGCTGGCTTTGGACAACTTCACCACCAGGAGAATCCACGTAGTTCCCAGCTCTCTGAGAGTTCAGGGAAGTGGAGAAAGGGGTGGGCGGGAGGCAAAGGAATGAACCTCTGAGCACTTCGCTCACGCTGGCTCCTTGGTCTGCACCCTCGTGCGTATTGCCTCGTGTTGGTTTCGGGACAACCTTCATGGGGACGGGATTACCTGCACGTGCAGATGAGGGCTCACCCTTGCCTCCAAAGCCATCTTCTCCCTGGGCCTTCCTGACAGCCCTCCATCCCCCTCTGCATGTCCCCGCCCCCTTGGCACTTACCGCAGTCTAAATTACACCACAATCGACCTGCTGGATGTGCTTATCACTTGTCTTCCGTGCTGGCTAGAGCCCGGGCGGACGGGCTTGCGTCATTCACCACTGTCTGTCCAAGGCCTCAAGCACCTGGCACTTAGTGGGCACTTTTGCATTAGTGGGCATCAAGGGCAGGAAGGAATAGGAACTTGCTAGTCTTTGCACCTCCAAATTTCAGTTTTCTCACTATTTCATGTTGTACCGAATTTATGCACCTTATTTATATGGCGTTAAACCAATTGAGTTGGACTTCGGGGGAAGCACGCGTGTTGGTTGTGTGGCTTCCTGCAGACCAGCATCTCTCAAATTGCCTTCAGGAGTGCTAATTAGGGTTCTGCAAAAACAGCTTGCGAGGCCAATAAGATGGGGAAGAGCTGCCTACTCATTTGCTCTTGCAAAAGCTCCATAGATGTTCACAACTTCAGAAGAGCGGAGAAATTATGCCGCAGTAGAGACACTGGGTTAATGTTTAATTGTGTGTCGTTCCCATTTCATTTTACTATAGATATACTTTCTGAGCAACGGTTATTAATATCTTCAGAAAGGAGAGTTCCATAGATCCTAGTTTGAGGACTCCTGACACATACAAAATAACTCGCTGGTTTTTTGTTTTTTAAGAGCTCAATATGGTAGAATATTTCAAAACCTATCCCTAGCATATGCATTAGGACGCAGACCTGAATTGCATTATGGTGTTCTTTAAGGCAAATCCCCCACCTGAAACCCTGCAAGGGCCCGCAATTTACCCTCCACCTCACCTAGAGACAGTGCTGTTCAGAGGATGGGACTGACCAGCAAAAACACCCTCTGAGCCATGTCATTTTAAATTGCTCGGTAAACATATTTTAAAAAGAAATTGATGGACTCAACTTTGATAGCACTGTACCCCTTATATCCAAAATAGTATTTCAATCTGTCATCGACAAAATTATTACTGAAGTGTCACAGTCTTTATTTGTACGACGTCTTCAGAATCTGGTCTGTGTGTGACCATACTGGACGGCATTATGAATACAGCTCACAGGCCAAACCTGCCTTGCTGCTTGTTTTAAATAAAGTTTTATTGGATCGCCTCCAAGCTCACCCGTTTTCACATTGTGGGCTTCTTTCCTGCTGCAACAACAGAGGTGAATATATACAGCAGAACAAAGCTGAAAACATTTACTTTCCATTACAGAAGACCTGTGTGCTGGAGGATTTAATTTCTGTTTATCATTTTCATGATGGGTCACCTATTAAAAGCACTGGCCAAAGGAAGGCCTAATCCCACACAGTTCTGCTCTGGGCTCCCCACGAACAGCTGCCCCCAAGCCCCTGCCTTCAGTGGGCTCGCCTACCTGGCCACACGTCCTGCCAGGAACCCCCATCCTCCGGCGTCGGGGTGCCCTAGTTCCCACCTGCAGCCTTGCTTGATGCTCACACCTGCTCAGAGGGTCCAGTGGGGGGGAGAGAGCCTTCTCCATCTGCACGGAGTCCCCCTGGGTTTCCAGCCATCCTGCCCCATGGCCGACACCCATGGACCACCCAGGCACCATACAGATGGCGGCCACTTTCAGCATCCTCAAGGCCTCTCCATCCTCGGCCCTGGTAGACAGCAGAGGCAGTGGCCAAAAACACGAAAGTCGGGTCACTTAGGGATGCAGGCCCTGGAACCCCAGAGGCACAAACAGCTCTGTCCTTATAAATTATGCTAACCAAATCACATTTAAAAAAAAAAAGTTTGCTGAGGATTAACAAACGTCTAATGAATTCAAATCTGTGACATAATAGAGCAGGGTAAATATATTTTAAGTAATCAGCATGGAAGATTACTGACAGGGAAGTGACTATCGAATCTTAATTAAAATTGTATTCAGAGAGCTGTCACTTAATACATTACACTAACAGCCAAACAAACAGCAGCTAAACCCCAACTTTGGAGGAGACTCTGAATGTGTGTGAGGGGTGCACGCGGCGGGGGCGGGGCTCAGTCTTTGGGGCAGGGATTGGGACAAACACGCGAGTGGGGGGG